TGGGAGGATGGGAGGATGGGAGGATGGGAGGATGGGAGGATGGGAGGATGGGAGGATGGGAGGATGGGAGGATGGGAGGATGGGAGGATGGGAGGGAGGATGGTCGGGTGGTGGGATGGCTGGATGGAAGGATGGAGGGATGGGAGGATGGGAGGATGGGATGGGAGGATGGTCGGGTGGTGGGATGGATGGATGGGAGGATGGCAGGATGGCAAAATGGAAGGAACGTCGGATGGTCGGGTCGAGCGGTGAAGCTCAACCATCGTATGGTGGGGTGTCGCGTCGAAACCCGACCATCAGATGGGAGGATGGTGGGATGGGAGGATGGGAGGATGGGAGGATGGGAGGATGGTCGGGTGGTGGGATGGCTGGATGGGAGGATGGGAGGATGGGAGGATGGGAGGATGGGAGGATGCGAGGATGCGAGGATGGGAGGATGGGAGGATGGGAGGGAGGATGGTCGAGTGGTGGGATGGTTGGATGGGAGGATGGGAGGATGGCGGGATGGCAGGATGGGAGGATGGGAGGATGGTCGGGTGGTGGGATGGCTGGATGGGATGATGGCAGGATGGCGAAATGGGAGGAAGGTCAGATAGTCGGGTGGAGTGGTGAAGCTCAACCATCGTATGGTGGGGTGTCGCGTCGAAACCCGACCATCGGATGGGAGGATGGGAGGATGGGAGGATGGGAGGATGGGAGGATGGGAGGATGGGAGGTGAAGTTTGACCATCGTATTGTGGGGTTTCGCGTCGAAGCCCGACCATCGGATGGGAGGATAGCGGGATGGGAGGATGGGAGGTTGGGAGGATGGTCGGGTGATGGGATGGCTGGATGGGAGGATGGCAGGATGGCGAAATGGCAGGAAGGGCGGATGGCAAGATGGTAGGATGGCAGGAAGATCGGATGGCAAGATGGTTCCATGGCAGGATGCGAGGATGACGGGATGTTTGGATGGCAGGATTGCGGGATGGTCGGGCGCTTGGATGGCAGGACGGTGGGGTGGTCGGATGGCAGGATGGTCGGTTGGTCCGGTGGCGGGATGGCAGGGAAGTTGGATGGTCGGGTGGTCGGATGACAGGACTGCAGGATGGTCGTGCGCTCGGATGGCAGGACGTTGGGGTGGTCGAATGGCAGGATGGTCGGTTGCTCCGGATGGCAGGATGGTCGAATGGGTGTACGGTCGGACGTTCGAAGGTTCGGGGTTCAGGTTTCTCTGGTCGGATGGGACAAATGGTAGAAAGCAGGATGGTCGAATGGTAAAAGGCCCGATGGCACGACGGTCGGGTGGAGCGGTGAAGCCCGACCATCGTATGGCGGGTTGTCGCGTTGAAGCCTGACCATCGGATGGTGGGTTGTCACGTTGAAGCCCCGCCATCGGATGGTAGGGTGTCGCGTTGAAGCCCGACCATCGGATGCCGCGGCGCAATGATAGGGTGATGGCGAGATGCTCGAATGGTTTTGCGGTGTCGCGTTGAAGCCCGACCATCGGATGGTGGGGTGTCGTGTTGAAGCCTCCCATCGGATAATAGGGTGTCACATTGAAACCCGACCATTGGATGCCGCGGCCCGACGATGGGGTGATGGCGGGATGGTCGAATGGTTTTGCGGTCGGATGTTTAAATGTGCAGGGTTCAGGTTAGGCTGGTCGGATGGCACGATGGTAGAAGGCGGGATGGTCGAATGGTCGAAGGCCCGATGGCAGAACGGTCGGGTAGGCAGTGAAGATCGACCATCGTATGGTGGGGTGTCGCGTTGAAGCCCGACCATCGGATGGTGGGGTATCGCGTTGAAGCCCCGCCATCGGATAGTAGGGTGTCCCGTTGAAGCCCGACCATCGGATGCCGCGGCGCAACGACAGGGTGATGGCGAGATGGTCGAATGGTTGTGCGGTCGGTTTGTAAAATTGCTAGAAGGCGGGATGGTCGGATCATCAGATGGTCGGGCGTGGTGGCTGCGGTGGACCATTAGACCGGCTGGTGCCGTGCCAAAGCAGGAACATAACATAGCAGGACTTATGCCAAATCCAGATACAATTGCCGCTTTCTTACTCCTTCCTTGTTTTCGTTTATAACTGCCTTGCAGAAACTATGCACACTCCAGCCCGCCACAGTGAGAAAGGGAGTTGTCCTCATGGCTCACAACCATGTGTTCAATATCCGAGGAAATTTGCGATACCTCCACCAATCTCCAGCGACGAGAGCTGATCCCCTTCACTATACGGGGGAAGTTGCAAGCGCATGTCATCGGCGTTGTCCGTGCGAAGTCCTCGTAAAAAGCCACAACTTTCCCGAGGGTGTGTTCCCACATCCGACAACGTAGTTCGATGATTGAACCTCGACAACATTATTAAAGAGCTTCGTCAAACCCGCGCTGCTCCGCCTTCGGCTGGGTTGAGCGCAGAATGTACACTGCATACCATCGACAAGTGTGATGCTGGTCATGACGACGATGGTCACATGGACGATAAGACACGACAAGAACCCGTGTCCGATGCACATATTGTTCCTGTGCATGGCAATAAGAATACTGCCATGGGGAGGGGAAGCGAGTCGGTGTCCTTGTTAATCGATTTGGGGTTAGAGAGAGGCAAACGAACATACACATATCGAAAGCGGAAGAGAAGGAGTGGCTCATTGGAAGAATCAATGGTTGAGAAATGCACCATGGAGGAATGTCGTGCAGTGTTAAATAAAAAGTGTTGTGCAAAACTGCAGTGTTGTTCAAAGATGACAGTAGAGGAGGTGTATAGGGCGAAAATGAGATATTTATCACTGACTCCTGAGGAGAGGCGGAAATGGTGGATAAAACAATTGGACAGTTTCACGTGTATTGAAGATCGAAAGTAGTCGTAGAAAAGCACAGGGTATGCGTCCAGGCATGGTGTTACATAATCGGTTTTTCGAGGAACACTTACGCATTCTACAAGGAATTGCATGAAGAGGGCAAGGTGCTGCCTCTTCATGGTAGGAAAAGACATTCCACAACATCCGCGACTCATGCTATGACTTTCAAAACATTTGAGACAACGATAATGGAGGAGGGTGACGCGATGCCTGACCAGACTGACATGAGCAAAGCCTGAGACTACGAGATAAGACCACGGGTCAGACTACCTCCAACTTACGCAACAAAATAAGACATCTATGACAGCATCAAACGACGGTTGCAGAAACAGGACATCGACTGCTGCTCTTTGCAAGTCTTCGGGAGTATATGGCGTGACTTTTTCTGGCATGTTCACCTTGCTAGGTCGACAGACTATGCTAGATGCAATTTTTGCACAAAACAAACAGACCTGATTGAAGTGGCCAAGCCAGATGCGAGGCGCAGTCTTGTTGCAAAACTGAATCGCCATAGACTGTTGCAAGAGGCGCATCGGAAGCACTATGACATATAGTCAGCCGAATCTAGGTTCATGAGAGAAAAACTCTTGTGCATCATAATTGATGGTATGGACCAAGCAAAAAATCTCATTCTGCACACAGCTAGGAACCGTACATCAAAGGCAATGGATAACCGCACAATGATGAAAACAAACCTCATGGGCATTCTCGTGCATGGGAGGAGTCCACACATTCTTGTGCACACATGGTTTCCTTTGTTCCCCCATGGTCCGGACTCGATTGTGTCTTCGATCGCAAAGGTGTTGAGAGACGTGCAGAGGCAATCGGGAGTGTTGCCTCCTGTTTTCAGACTCCAAGCGGACAACTGCGGTAGTCAAAACAAAAACAGATATGTATTTGCGTATCTAGTATTATTGGTGAAGTTCCGCATTTTCGAGGTTGTTGAAATGAGATTTATGATAGTGGGTCACACGCATACGGATATCGATGCAAAGTTCAACTTATTTGCTAGAAAACTAGTGGACACGGATGCTTACACGATGGACGAGTTGTTCGCCGCACTTCGAAATTCCACAAAGGATGAGGTCGATTGCAAGTTTATCAATAAGATGGCAGATTGGAAAGGTGCAGTCAAAAACTTCTTCGACATGCGTATTGGTGGCCACTTCACTCCGCACTTGTTTAAGTTCTATATGGACGGAGACAACCCTGCGATGGTCTACAAAGAACATTGCAATGACAGTGAATGGTTGTCGGAGGGCGGAGCTATTTATTGGTTCAAGCGGGATGGATATGGGCGATGGGCGGGGCCGTCTTTTCCGTTGGAACCGTGTGGCTTGAAGTTGAACTTGGACAATGAAGACTTTGTCAAAGGTCGCCAAGGTGTGAGTGCCTTGGTCGAGGAGTGGAAAGACAAGCGGCCAGAATTCGAGAAACACGAAGATTGGAAACGTCAGTTGAAAACAAGTCATCTGGACTACTGGGAGAAACAGTTAGACATGTTCAATAAGCTGGAACAAGAAAAAACCTCACGACCCGCTCCGTTTTCAACTCCGTTCTGGCCAACGCCGATGACGGGAAGCGTAAAAGAGGTGAAGGTGGAACTTCCTATTGTTCATTCGCCACCGAGGAAGCAATGTTTCGTAGGTTATAAGAGTGATGCCCCGAAACTGGAGTTCGACCCGGCAAAGCATGTTGATATCGGTTCTTTCGTAGTGATGCGCGCTCCAGACGAGAATGCGGACAAATGAGTTAGTTTTTGGGTAGGACGTGTGCAAGAGAAATCTGAGGACTCATAGCAAATTCTCGTAGAGTATTGGAGGTCACAGGGCAAAGAGACCGATATGCGTAAGTTGTACGAAGACGCGTGGAAGAAAACATGGCGAGTTGAGAACGAATCTTTGCCTAGATGGCAAAACATAACATGTGTGGCATGGGGATGGAAAAGCGAAAAGAAAGGCAAAACTGGATTAAAAATCAGGAAGAGCGACGCATTGAAGGCAATCAAATCGTTGGCAGCAGTAGATCACGCACGCTGAATGCACATATTGACTACTGCATCATCTTGCGTACATGCGATTTGTTTCTTCGGAACAGCGAAATAGTTGCAACCCCGATGGAGCTGGGCATCGAACAAGCATGGCGTCGCCGAGCGGATAAGTGGGGGAAGGTGATTCAGCATGATGACCTTATACCTTATCGGGCAAGGCACAGGATGACCGCTATCGGTCTGCAGTCAATGGACGAATCCATGTTTTAGGCGACAATGGAATTCTGGACGCTACAGATGCAGCGAAAACTTTTCAAACTGGCTAACACATGCGAACCTGCCACGATGTATAAGAAGGAGGGCACCGACAAATGAAAAAATGTATATTATAGTTCTGGTTGGCTATGCGATTCGCGCACTGTGAACGAGGAAAATTTTTATGTATTGCCTTCGAAGCACGTCATGGAATGACACATTGTGCGACACGCATCGATAGAAGCAGACTGTTGGCCGACGAAGAGACGGACGATGAAGAATTTTGGATATCCCATCACGTGATTCGCTTTTATAGTGTGATTAGAGACGCAATGCTGCTTTATATTAGCAAAAGAATATGCATTGCTGTAACAAGTGCTACAAAAGTACTTCGTTGGGTGTATACTATAGGGATAGTGCAGAAAACGAAGAAGACCAAGTTAAAAAAAAACATCTGTATGAAGCAACTCTGCCAGCGGATGAACGGGCAAATCCCATTCGGTGTTGCTTGCGTGAACAGGTTGTGTTCCGCGAAGACATCTATGTCTTCAAGGTGAGCAATCACATCGACTATTGCAGGCTGGTATGGTGGTAGGACGCCAACTTCTTTGAATGGTGGGATGGTGGGATGATCGATTATTCGGTGAGGAATGTTGGCGGGATGGTGGGATGATTGATTGTAACATGGTAGACTGGTATGGTGGTAGGACGCCGACTTCTTTGAATGGTGCAATGGTAGGCAAGTGAGATATCAGGGTGGCAGAATGGGAGGATGGTTGAAAGGTATGATGGCCGGTTCGCTGAATGGTACAATGGTAAGATCCTAGTGCGACAGGGTGCAAGGTGGCGACATAGGAGGATTGTCTGTCACCGTGGGACGCTCGACTATCGGACGGCAGGGCTTCAGGGTCAAGCTCGACCATCGCATGATACGATGGTGTACTGTTAGTGGTGTGTGCATGTGGAACTTCTAGGATCGTTCATTGTGACGTCAGCGAGACGGTAGGCAGGCAGGTTGGTAGACTGCTACGATGGTGGGCTGATAGGGCGACAGGCTATGGATTGCCATAATGGTGAAGGTCGACTATCAGTTGATATGGTGTCATGTCGAAGCGCGACTGTCAGATGTTCGGGCGTCGCGGCGAAGCTCTACTATCAAATGGTAGGGTATCATGGTGAAGCTCGACTATCAGATGGTCGGGCGTCATGGCGAAGCTCGACTATCAGATGGTAGGGTGTCATGGCGGAGCTCGACTACCAGATGGTCGGGCGTCATAGCGAAGTTTGGCTCTCGGATGGTCGGGTGTCATGGCGAAACGCGACTACCAGATGGTAGGATGGGGGATGGTTTGACAATGGGATGGTGGAATGCCCGATTGCAGGATAGGAGGATGGCGGGATGGTCAGGCAAACCCGAAGAACTTATGCAGGTCGCCAATCACTGTAATGACGATGCTCGACTACAAGATGGCGGGATGGTAAAGAAAACATAGACAAGTGCATCATGGCGAAGCTCGACTACCAGATGGTCGAGCGTCATGGCGAAACTTGGCTCTCAGATGGTCAGGTGTCATGGCGAAACGCGACTATCAGATGGTAGGATGGGGGATGGTGTGGCAGCGGGACGGTGGGATGCCCGATTGTAGGATGGGAGGATGGCGGGATGGTCAGGAAAACCCAAAGAACTTATGCAGGTCGCCAATCACTGTAATGATGACGCTCGACTACAAGATGGCGCGATGGTAGAGAAAACCTAGACAAGTGCTACATGACGGCCATGTGTGCAAGGGGAACGCTCGATCATAGGATCGTGGATCGTGACAAAGCTCGGCCATAAGATAGTAGGATAATAGGACGGCATGATAGTGTGTTGGTGGGATGGTGGGATGGTCGGTTGTAGGACGACGGGATGATTTTGCAGTAGGATGGTGTTTGACTACACTAGTGGGATTCACATAGAGTCTCGTGGATTTGACAAACCTATCAAAGTTTCGTGCCAGGTGTATTGCTGGTTATGACATTGTCGTTAAAGGAATCGAGGAAAGAGTCATAATGGGTTCCTATTTTGAATGTCGAGAAGACAAAACACGTGTAACGGTTATGTTACCATGTATTCATTTGTATGCGCATTTGTGATGCGAGCTGGCCTCTTACTCATAACCGGGGGGATCGGGACTAGATTCAGCTTGATCCTACAAGGATCACATTCTGTTATCACTGATAACAGGTCGGTTGCCGATTCGTCGGTTTACGATTCAACTCCAATTCACTCCTGCCACTCAACCTAAAGACTTTAGCCCTGGGGTTTACTTGTTTTGTTGTGTTTTTACCCGGACTTTATTGAATGGTCATTTAACAAAGATACTGAGTATTTTTATTGCGGGGAGGTTGCGCTGAGGTTGAGGTTGCATGGCTAAAGCAAGGGGTGTGAGTACAGAGAGTGGTTGAAGTTAACCCCGTGTAGCGTGTGGACCTCTGGTTGAATCTTTGATGTGATTGCAGGTATATTTTGTGGTTCGGGCTCGGGATGTGATTGCCTGCGGATTACGTTCATATATGGTTAAGAGGAGCCCCACTGTGACTGTGAGAAGTGATCGTCCTATGCAATTAACCCTCATATATTTACGAGTGCCCCGAATATTTGTGAGGCCTACTGTGATTGTGCATAAGGGTTAGTCAGATTATGCCTTGAGATAAAAGGGGGATCTCCCCTTTTGCTCTTGCTTTTTAGAGTTGTATGGTTGGACGTTGTAGTCCGTGGCAGCCGTCAAAGTCAAACCCCTTGACTTTCGCCCAGGCCTGGGATAGGACTCATCCCCAAGGCCGCAAGAAACGACTGCCACCACAGGTGTGGACCTGTGTACCACCCGCTCTGCATAAGGTGCAGAAGAGGGTGTGTGCAGAGCGGGTGTGTGGTCTTCAACCGCGCATGGCGGTTGTTCAGCGTCGAGAGATTAACCCTCAAGGCGCGTGTCAGCCGACACTTGAGTGTCGAATGCGACCCTCGAGATTAATGAGGACCTCATAAGTATGGGTACTACATAGTACGCCATCATCGCGACCGCTTGCGTACGCTTGCATTGCGAGTCAATATAAGTTAGCCCTGCGTCCACGCGGTCTTATACCAAGTCTCGCGCGCGTCGCCTATTTGATTTCCGCATTGGAAAATTATGGGTTGGCTACCGAGGGGCTAGAAGCGTTATCGCGTTGTTTGTGCTGTGTCGTTTCGTATATGTGTTGTTTTGTGTGTATGTGTGTTTGTAAAGTGGAGTGCGCGTGGTGTATGGGATGAGTCCTAGTCGACCGGCGACGGGTTGCGCTTGGAACCTCAGCCCCCCAAGATGTCGATTCGCGTGCGGGTCCGATAGGCGTRCTACCRCRCGTACCCCCTATGCTACAACGAACGAGAAACGCCCTCGGCTGGTCCACCTCTGCGATTGCAACTGATTAACTTTCGTACTGTGGACTGGTAGCTCGGCGGGGATACGCCCACCGAAGGGAGGTGACAACTCCCGTAAGGTAGAGGTAAGTTGTGCCTCGTGTAGGCCCTATCCTGTCGTAGGGGCTCGTGAGAGGTATGGTTGGCGCACTCGGCCGGAGCGGCTTGCGGAAGCTCCATATGTATAAATTGCAACGAAGGATCTAAGTCCAACTCCTGCGTGACGCGGACGAGAGGGTCCCGCACTGCCCTGGTGCGGTGCCGGACCGATGCGCTCGACACTGCCATCCTCCCATCCAGCCATCTCACCACCCGACCATCCTCCCATCCAGCCATCTCACCACCCGACCATCCTCCCATCCTCCCATCCTCCCATCCCGCCATCCTCCCATCCGATGGTCGGGTTTCCACGCAACACCCCACCATACGATGGTTGAGCTTCACCGCTCCACCCGACCGCCGTGCTATGCAGCCATCCTGCAACCCTGCCATCCTGCCGCCCGACTGTCCTCCGATCTTCCCATTCCACCAACCATGCGGTCTTCCCGACGTTTTGCAGTTGGACCACCCGACCATCCGACCATCCTGCCATCCTGCCATCCCGTCACCCGACTATAACCCTAAACCCTACAACGTCCAGGGAGTCGGATCCAACCTTGAACCCTAAACCCTAGACCCTGAACCACTCGACCAGCCTGCTATCGTGCCAGCCAGCCGTCCGACCATCCAACCATCCGACTGTCCGACCGCGCGACCGTACACCCATACTGCCCAACCATACTGCCATCCGACCACCCTCCAATCGGACCATTCGACTGTCCAACCATACTGTCATCCAACCACACAACCATCCGAAGCTCGACCATCCTGACGCACGACCGGCCGAACATGTAACCATCATCCTGCCATCCGATGGTCGGGCTTCAACGTGACACCCCACCATCCGATGGTTGGGGTTCGACGCGACACCCCACCATCCGATGGTCAGGCTTCAACGCGACACCCCACCATCCGATGGTCAGGCTTCAACGCGACACCTCACCATCCGATGGTAAGGCTTCAATGCGACACCCCACCATCCGATGGTCGGGCTTCGACGTGACACCCCACCATCCGATGGTCGGGGTTCAGCGCGACACCCCGCCATCCGATGGTCGGGGTTCAGCGCAACACTGCACCATACATCTTTCCACCGCACTCTTCCCGCCATCAAGGCTTCGGCCCTTCTCTTCTCGCCATCCACTCTTCTCGCCATAAAACACTTCCGCCCACCTTCCCCGCCATCAAGGTTGTCACCCACCTTTCCCGCCATCCACTCTTCTCGCCATCCACTCTTCCAGGCATTCAATCTCCTCGCCATCCGCTCCTCTAGCCATCAAGACTATCACCCACCCTTCCCGCCATCAAGCCTTCCGCCCATGCACCCTTCCCGCCCCACTCTTCTCGCCATCCACTCTTCTCGCCATCCACCATGCTCGTCATCAATCTTCTCGCCTTACACCCTGTCCGCCATCCACTATCTTCGTCATGCACTCTTTTCTCCATCCGGCATCCACTATTCTCGCCATCCACTACTCTCGACATCCACTATTCTCGCCATCCACTATTCTCGCCATCAATCTTTTCGCCTTACACCCTGTCCGCTTTTCCACTCTTCTCGCCAGCAGGCATTGTTTTTGCCATGCACTGTTTCCACCATCTGGCAATATATCCGCTCTTCCAATATATCCGCTCTTCCACTCTTCTCGCCATCCGCTCCTCCCGCCAAACACTACTCCAACCATCCACCCTTCCCGCAATCCGCTCATCCCGCCAAACACGGGCAAACGAACACGACGTGGCGCGTCATGTGCATGCACGAGCATTTGCATGCACGATGGTACGTTTTTAAGTATGCAAAGAACAACGATGTCGCCAAAATGTTGTAAGGAACATGGCGTGCAGAGGGTGGCACTTCATGTGCATGCACGAAGGAGTTTTTTAAAGCATGCTAAGAAAAAGGATGTTGCCTTACGAAGATGCTACCCCTGCTGCCCCTGACGAAACACTCGGTCGTGTCAGCTGCCAATGTGATCAAGGTTGTTTTCAACTGTGCCGCACAACCATTCCAGCACTATCACGCACTATCCAGAGATTAAGATCATTCTATCCATTCGAGCATTTCCCGCACACCGCGCAGTTTCGTATTTCTAGGCACCAAAAAAACAAGGTGAACACAAACAAGAAGAGAAAACAAACAAGAAGAAAAAACAACCAAGAAGGAAAAACAGAAAATATAGAATGAAAAAGTAACAACTTGTATAAAAAAGGTCCACGAAATCTACCGGAATGAAATGACTAACAACATTCATAAAAACAGAAAATATAGAATGAAAAAGTAACAACTTTTATAAAAAAGGTCCACGAAATCTACCAGGATGAAATGACTAACAACATTTATAAAAAAGGTCCCCGAAGGAACCTTTGTTTTCGAAAAAAGGGAAAACAAGACCTGCGAACGCTCGACTTGTTTGCCAAAAAAAAACGGGAAAGCATATGGTCAACCAACAACGGAACTTTTCGCGGACAAAATAGAAAACAATGGCCGGCGGAGACACTGCCCACCGAACGTGGCCCGACAAACGACGTGGAGAAAGGAAAAAATGGCTGACAATTTTTTTTTGTCGAGAACGACGCGAGGGCGCATGGCGAGCCCGAAACCGCAAAGATACAGCAAAAAAAACAAAGACAATCAAGAACCTGGATGGGGGTTGGCCATATGATAGAGGACAAAGCCGGCGTGACCACATGAGTTCGACGAAGACACAGACGGAAAAAAAAAATAAAAAAAATTCGTCGTACTCACCTCTCAGCCTGTAGTTCCCTGCGTCGGGCAAGACGACAACCCGGGAGAAGCAAAACTGGTGGGCGATGGATTCGCGGGAGTGCAGTGCACGAGGCGGGTGAGACGGAGGCGCGGGCGATGGAGACAACGAAAGAGGCAGGCTGCGGATGAGACAGAGGCGCGAGCGATGGAGACAACGAACGAATACGGTGGAAAGGGGAGAAATGAAAGACCACGCGACGAGGTCCGGGCGTCCACCACTTTTTTCCAAGCCACGCAGAATTGACAAGGGCGGACGCAAAAATGGGCGTTCCAAAACAGCAAAAAGGAGAAAGCCTGTTTTTTTTTTCTTTACTGTAGTCGTAGCCAGACTTTTTTTTCACCCCTGACTGGCCACCTGCTGCTAGTCCGAACTGCAGGCATATGGGCCAGTTTGTGATTCCGCCTAAAAAATGCCCCAGAACAAGGGGGCCAACCCGCACCCCTCTGATTGCGGCAAAACAACAGACGGGGGGGCGGGGGGGGGGGGAGGGGAAGGGGCCTCGATTTTTTCACCCCCCGGTTTGCCGTTTCCAGGGTCGGGCCGGTCTGTTTCTCCACAATACTCCCCCGAAAGTTTCGGTCGGGAAACCCAAAGGCGACGACGTTTTCGTGGGCAGTTGTCCGTGCGTTCCTCCACTGTGGTGACGGCAACACTGCAGTCCGAACCTCGCACGATTGTCCCTGCTTGTGAATCCGCCAATTCGCCACGTCGACGGGAGTGCTAACTGGTGGCACACTCTCGGCAGTCCTCAATGGCAAGCAAAGGTGATGTTCTTCAACTCCTCCTCCTCTTCCTCGTTCTCCTCCTCCTGCTCTTCCTCTTCCTCCTCGTCCTCCTCGTCCTCTTCCTCCTCCTCCTCGTCCTCCTCGTCCTCTTCCTCCTCCTCCTCGTCTTGTTGTTGTTCTTCTTCTTCC